TCATGGACAGTGGAATTTTAACATTTTGACAACTTGATGTGGCCTAAGGGGGGCTTGCATATACACCTCAATAGGTTTTTTTGGCACTTTTTTGAGGTTTTCCAGCTGTAGCCGATGGATTAAGAAAAAACATCCCACCTGGAAATTATTTGAACAGGGCTAGGTAGGCTGTCTGTGGACACCCCTGTAAAAGGTCACCATGTTTTATTGTCAATTTATGTTTGCTGACTGTCATTTTCCCAGCTAAACCCAGCTCCGCATTTCCACATAATTGTAAAGTGGATTTCCCCATCAGGAGGATCCTCTCATTACAAGCCTGTCTCGTGAAGCTTAGGAAAGTGCTTTGTGGATCTGCACCAGGACTTCTGACAGAAGCCTCTGATACACAGAGTCTTGGCTATGGATGCTTCCATGAGGTGTTTGTCCTGCAGTTGTAATTAGCATGGCAGTTTCATTTTTGTTAGTCATGTTAATCTTTTTTTTTTTTTTTAACTTTTAGTCAGTGCTCCAGGAACTTTAAGTGAAGCATCTGCTGTTAGCCAGAAGGAGCTCCAGAGGAAGAATAAGCAGCTATATACAGGCAAAGACCTGCTGACTGCACCTTTAAAGTGTTTCTATAAACTCTCACTGTGATCAGGAGTGTTTTACTTCAGTGGTGACTGTGCCTGACACACTGCTGCTACTGGAACACAATGATTTGTATTATCATTGCATGAAAGCTTAGCATTGATGATGTGAACAAACACAGACTGAACTAATCTGGCGCTGAAGAGGAGAAACAGGAGGAAGATGTGGCCGGCAGTGCGCGCATGAGTCTTGGCTGCTGTTGTACTTCTGCAGCTTTACTGAAGATCGAGAAAACATACAGTATTGTTCAAAATAATAGCAGTACAGCGTGACCAACCAGAATAATCCAGGTGTTTAGTATATATATTTTTATTGATACATGGCAAACAAGTTACCAGTAGTCGATTCTCAGAAAACAAGCAGGACTCTGCCTGTCTGTACCAGCACCAGCTGCAGGATGGACAGCGCTGCAGACATGACCACCCGTGTGCCACATACGATGATAGCTACTATTGGTGCAAGACCAGCGCTGAACACACAGCTCGCTGCAGCCCTCCGCTGTGGAGGAGCAGAGCTGACAGCAGAATATACTGATGCAGAAACACAGAGCTGAGCTCAACACGGAGAACACCAGCCGTGCTGCTGCCCGGAGCATCAGACCGGCACTGAATAGCCGCATTTCCACTATCGGGCCAGTGCGAGCCAGGGCTTTAATCGGGCCGGGGCGGGCCAATAGCCCGGGAGGTTGAGAAATGAGGCCGAAATCATGTCGCGTTTCCACTGTCGGGCTAAAAGCTCACAGCGCGTCACGCAAACACCGCCCACAGAACGTCCCCGAATCAAACGTCACACAACCCGCCCACTTCATCGGGAATGAGGCAGATAAAGCACACCATAGAATCATCACGAAACGAAACCATTAAAATGAAGACAACCGAAACAAACAAACGACACGTTACTGTACAGCAGAGCAGTACATGAAATGTCTATAAGCACAGACCTGTGTATTTCCATTCATTACATTTGTTTACTCGCCGACCGACTGCATTGTACATGGAGTGCTCTCGCCACTAACGCAGGGACCCAACACAGAGAGCGCACCTTCCATAATATAAAGCCACAGAAATTCTCCTTTATAACTCGATATGGCATGTATTTTTTAACATCCTCGTGTTGATAGAAGTCATGTTAAGTTTTCAGCACAAGAGCGAGTAGCCTAATAAAATATAGCCATATTTGTTGCGCTCGGCAGCTATTCACTAAAACTCTTCATTTAAAGTTTCATTTATAAATTTAACCATGTCATATAAAAATATAAACAGTTGTTTGAGGATATAGAACACATTTTGTGTTTGGACTTTCCCCCGATGCGTTTAAAGCAGCGAGTGCTGCGCAGGACTGAGTGACAGAAAAAAAGGTATAGGAGATTCTGCTTTCACTCACCCAAATAATGCTCTGTTTGCGCGATTTAATTAATATCATCGTATCCAAATACTTTATAAATATTTACTTATATAAATATTTACTCTATATAAATATTTCAAACCTCCGGTGTTTTTAGAAAATATCGAAAATCTTTTCTTTTTTTTTTGTCAGACAGGTCTTTGTAAAATGAAAGTTAGGCTATATGTGGCTTTAAAACGGTTTGATTTATGTATTGTATATAGGGTACCTACATTGTTATAGTTAGCTTTTGTTTATTTTATATTGGTTAATTTATTTAATGTGATTTTATATATATCCGATATTTGTAATTCTTTAAATTATATTTCAGTATACCTTAGGCTATTTTATCAAGATATGACAATATATTGTTTAAAGTCTACGAAAGTGGGCACGTATTTTGTTAAGTTTATGACTTTCTGTTGTATTTATATTGTGTATTATCTCCAAAATAAATAAAGAAAAAAGCCGCTCGCGGCATAACAGAGCTGTGAAGGAGCGCTTTAGCCCGGTCTCACACACACATACATGCATCTAAACGCGCACAAACAAACAAACATTTTAACCTTGACAAAAACTCTCGAAAACCTTTACTGTCTGATGTGTTTTTAATATGGTGTAAAGATTATTATGCGTTATTGAAACATAAAGGAGGACGCAGCAAAGAACGTCACTATAAATTAAAACTACTTTATTATTTTATGCAGCAGCCTTACATTTAAAATGGAAACATAAGGGTGATCATACGCAAAAAGACCCCAGACTAAGGCTAGATGTTTTCTTTCCCTTATTTCTTTATTTGTTTGGCGCATGTACTCATGTGCGATCAGAAAACTGCCCGCCTCTCCTTTCACTCCGCCCCGAAGCCCCAGCTGGCCCTCCTTGGCCCAAGGTATTCGGCGGGCCGAAAAAGGCCGGCCGCTGGCCCCAAGAAAGCCCCACTTTGGCCCGATTAGGCCCCGGAAGTGACAGTGGAAACCCCACTGGCCTTGGCTCGCCCTGGCTCGCTCGCTTTAGGCGCGATAGTGGAAACGCGGCTAATGTGGCGCTACAGTGATTACAACACCGCTCCGAGTACTGTTGCACAAGATGTAGTTACTAGTTCAGTCTGAAACGGGACTTTGAGGTCGTCTTCTAGCTCTGACTAATCTGTAAACTCTTTGTACCATGAAAAGCTCAACAGAAGCACAGTGAATAATTTAGCAGTTTAATTCATGAGTACACTAAAAACAACTAATAGTTAGGGGTCAGCGTGTGTGTGTGTGTGTGTAGATCGTGCCAAAACCTGTCTCTACAGTGACACCTGGTGGTCATTCTCAGGTAATGTAGGGGAGTGTTTCATTATAGTTTTGTAAAGTGTTTTTGCTCTGTTTGTTTTTTTTGCACCCCTACTGTAAACCTGATTGATAAAGAAACACCATGTGATGCCTTTACAGTCAAAGTATTAGACAACTACAGGAATATATTCCACCTCACAAAGAGATTTTAGATTCACTAGCCTGGTAAATCTACAATAAAACATGATAAACACTGCTGTACATTCATTCATTTACTCATTCATTTCCTTGTCGGCTTAGTCCCTTTATTAATCTAGGGTTGCCACAGTGGAATGAATCACTTAACCAGCACATATTTCATGCAGCGGATGCCCTTCCAGCTGCAACCCATCACTGTGAAGCATCCATTCAACTTGTACACTATGGACGATTTAGCCTACCCAATTCACCTGTACCGCATGTCGATACTGGAGGAAACCCACGTGAATGTGGGGAGAACATGCAAACTCCACACAGAAACACCAACTGACCCAGCCGACTTCTTGCTGTGAGGCGACAGCACTACCGTGTCACCCCACTGCTGCACAGTCCAATAATAACAGATGCTGAAATGTTGAGTGTGTTTTTGTTCAGTCACTTCAGTCAAATGATGATGGTTGAGTATCGAGGCTTCGAAGGATGTATGAAAGAAACGATGGATCTCGCAGTGGGTTAGTAAAGTGTATAGCGAGAGATGAGGCAAAATCGAGAGATGAGGTTACATCCGTTTCTATTGTTTCCAACCTCTGCTCCTGTATCACACACAATAATTCAGCTAAAATACT